GTATGATCATCTGTTTATTTTTATCTTTGTTTTCGATTGCCTATTTTTTTTTTCCCAAGAAGTTAGTAAGCAACAACGATGTGATTTCTATCCACTAAAGATTGTTATTGTTATTAAATGATGCAAAACGTATTTCCTCACCAAACTTATTAACTGATTTCTTAATTCAAGATATAAATCATGATTGATAAGGTATTTTAGGAGTTCTAGTGATATTCTTCTATAATATACGTGAATTGTAAGTTAATGATTATGTTTAAACCGCACAGGTATCTCAAAGAGAGAAAAAAAAATAAAAATAAACTATATACCCTATACGGACCTGCCACCTTCTTCTAATTGTCTATACTTATTGACATCTACGGTCAAAAGTAAAGTATTTAAATAATCAACTATATCGGTATCACGATATCTACAGTAAATAGAGAACATATGCGAGAATAAGTAATCTGTATTATCATAATAGTTTACGCTAAAAAAGTCGCGTTTTAAGATTAATTACATATATTGTGATCCGACACTTTTGAGAAATATAAGTAAAAGTTTTTTCAATTGATGAAACCAAGTATGGCGCAAATCTTCGTAATAAAATGGTACAAATATTGTTTCAACATCTAGAAACAAATTTAAAGAGATATAAATGGTTAATTTGTATAGAAATACATTCCTTCAAGCGATAAGAAAAGTAAAATTATGCACCAAACATCTGCTTCCGCAAAATCTGACACAAACATAATTCCCGTTGGATATCACGGTTCGGTCGATAAAAAAAGAGAAAACTGCGCACAAGATCAACCAGAGAAGTCGCGGCATTTACATCCCACTTATTATGGACAGCACGAAAAATAGATTCGGCATTTTGATCCCATAATGCACGCTCTTTATTGCGCAAATTTCCAGCTACATTTCTTCCGCGATAAAACGCCTAAGATAGATCATGCTAAGACTCATCGATCAAGCGAATAAATAAATTTATACCCTGGTCACTATATCAAGATCGCAGGGCATAAATCAGTTATACCCTGGGCACTATGTGTATAAGCGGGACTTTCAGCCCCGCTTATACCCAACTGCCCAGGATATAACTATTACTTAAATAGGTTCGAAAATTACCTGTATCTTTACAGCTGATTTCTGACGCAAACGCTCATTATCTCGTTCACGACGTTGTTCCTTATTCTTTTTTATAAGAGTTGACTTATCCTCTTGCACTCTCTGGCCTCCAAGATTTATCTTTGGACGTGTTTTAAAATTGCCTTCGAAAGAATTGAACATTGCACTAGAATGACGATAGAAGTTTTGAATTTTACGACCTAGTGATTAAAAAATTCGGGTTTTTCTATTTGAACTATATTGTATATTGTATATAGTATTATTTCAACCATATGTACATGACGCACACAGCATGGAAGTTTTACAAATTTCTACCAATACGTAAGATATCTTAATTCAGAAAATTAGAATGTCAAATTAATATGGATAGGTCCGAAGTGAAACGGGTCAGGCCGGGCATCGCCGGGCCCGCCCGGCCCAAAACATGGAATATTGGACATGTTCGGCTTTATTGTCATTGTCTAGATAGTTCATTGTCTATTTTTGTGCCGTTGTATCAAGAAAATTTATATCTATATCTGTACTTGTAGGCTATTTCAGTTTTTGTATATAATTTTACATATCGATATGAGTGCTGCCAAGGGAAAATGTCCCTTCGGACTTTCAATTACATTTTGACCGGACACATTCTATTTAATTTATTAAAGATTGTGTCCGGTCAAAATACAATCGAAAGTCCGAAGGGAATTTTCCCTCATATACCAATACTACAAGTACCCTTAAAATCTTTTTTAAATGATGCAATGTCTTTGACCACTGCTGTCAAAAGTTTAAGGGATAAATTCATAGAATTTAGTTTAGAATCTTGTAATAATACTGTAATTTAATTCAGTTTGCAATAATTATCGTTATACTGTATTAACCCGCCAGAAAAAAAAAATGTCTTGATTTCTAATCTTTGGCGTTGGTGCATATCATTCAAATGTGAAGAATAATAAATATGGAATTATCTTTAGTCGGTTTCAATGTAATTTCCTGTTCGGCTAATTTGACATCCCTTTGCTCCGTGTACGAAATCATGGGCATCGTGTGTAAGGACATTATATTAATGATTGGAGAAATAATAAATTTAATAACTAAAAACGTTTTATGATTGGTGCATAACCACATGACTAAGACAAACGTGAAATTCTGTTTACCTTAAATTAGTTTTTAATAACTCAAAGTAGCATGAAAAAACTGCAAGAACCCTACCGTTAAAAATGCCACCTTCACCGAAAACTCCACCACATGAAATCCTATCAATTTGTAAAAAATATTTTATAATAGGGTGTTTCTTTTTACCTTGGCTATGGGTTGTTAATGTCGCTTATATGTGGCCTTTAATAAAACGAGAAGACATTGGTACTCAAATTAAAAAATGTAAGTTCAACTAATAATATTAAAGGAATAAAAACATTTCTCTTTAACGGCACAGTTTCAATATAAAAAATATAACTAACATTGGTCTTCTGAAACCAGATTTATACCTATCAATGTTCGGTGCAATATTCTGGCTGATAGTTCTAATAACTTGGTTATCGATTTTCGTCACAAACCGAATTGGATGGGGTCAATTCGCTGACAATATATCTGTTGCCATTCCTAAAGGTGTTTAGCAAGTGTTTAGCAAGTGTTTAGCAAAATGGTTGTTAATAAAAAGCAGCATTCAACTGAAAAATATATTTACATAAAATTACAATGTGTAAATTATAAATTATAACATATGTAGGAATAGAAAATATAGAAATAGAGTTTGATTTAATTTATTTATTTAATTTTATATACTTTACATATTCTTTAACAACATATACCTATTCTATTATGTTATTTTTATATTTGATTATTAGAAAGATTAGTAAAAGTAGTCACTTCTTGTACATGACATATCTTTCATCCGGAATTCAGATTTTTCAGATTTTCCATGGATGTTCCGACTTTTTCTGTTCAATGTGATGGTAGATTATAGTGTAAGTTTTAACTGCCATTTATCCAAAGGAAATTCTCATTGACATATACATTATGATTCTTTCGCTACGTAAAAGGTTCATAGTTCAAAGGCAATTTTATAAATGTAAACGTGTTTCATTCGTTCTGTATCCTTTAATTTACTATCGAGAAATGACGGTGATAATCTTTCCGTACATTAACTAGCTCAATATAAAGATGTTGCAACAAGATAACTTCGATGAATCGCCCATTGAGTTAATAAAAACATAACCTGTTCTGTACGTATACAGTGCCGACTCAAATATAGCATTTTCATTTATCGTGTAACATTTGATTTACTGCGCCAAGAGGACAATAAAACTTAAGTCTTCGAACAAGGCACAAGTTTATTTATGGTTTGATTTTAACTTAACACTGACTTTCACCATGAGCGTCGCTTCGGAACTGTTCGAGTCTTATGAGCATGACTTTAACCAAATCTCTCAGTCAATTACAACGAAAATAACCTCTACGCTTCCCTCTCAATCTGGAGGTTTTAACTTAGATCTTGAATATATTTAATTTAATTATATTAATCGTTCTATACTGATTATGAATTCATCGATGTTATAGAAACGCGTAAGGCTACAATACATGCGACCGAACGTGAAATCGATGAAGCCGATGAAATAGTATGGTTAACCAATTTAATAGAATTTCGAATGTTCATAATTAAAAACAGTGTCTAATTGTTTATTTAAAATAGATCGGGCAAATGGAAATGGAGGTGTTGAATTTACAGCCTTCAACACGTATACGTCTTCAGGCTAAGATGAGAAATTACAAAAGTACTTTGGAAAAACTGAAACGTGATTTGGTAATTTCTAAATGCCATTTAAAATATATATATATATATTGTTTCTTTAATTATAACGATAATAATTTTTAACCTCAGAAAAAAGCTTCTGCAAATGATTCAATGCCTACAGATCGAGACGAGTTACTTGCTGGAGCAAGTGCTACTGATCTTGATAGCGCTTCACTAGACCAACGTGCCAGGCTTTTGAATGGAACTGAACGACTTGCAGATAGTAGTAGGCGCTTACAAGAAAGTCATAGAATTGCTTTGGAAACTGGTAAGTTATTTTCATATCGTAGCTCATGTTTCATTGAAGCTTGCGATAGATTAAATTAAATTTAATACCCTTTTTTTTCATTACTCAGAAAATATTGGTGCGAATGTACTGGATGATATTCGTAGACAAAGAGAACAGATATTGCATACTAGAAATACCGTATTTATTTATTGTTTATTTATAAAACTTTCTGCCTTTCTTTTGTTTTTTCTTTTTTAATAAACTATGATTCAATAAATCCTTAGCTCATGGAAGCGGATTCCTACATTGATAAAGCACAACGCACTCTTAAGGGTATGACTCGTCGGTAAGATGTTTTTTGATCAATTTTTTAGTAAAAGATTTGTTGCAGTTGATGCTTAAATTTGGGGTCTGATTTAAAAATATAAGCCCCGCTAAAATCCACATATATACCCTAAATCCCAACCAAATTCTAAAAAAAAAAAAAAAAAAAAACGGACCCAAAGATTCTAAAATTTCATATTAAAATAAGTTCAAATTTCAGCATCAGCCGCGACAAGAATTTTTATTGAAAGAATTTTTTATTAAAAATGTCTATTTCGTATTTCTAGAATGCAAACCAATCGGATGTTGACTGCATCAATTATTCTTTTACTTGTTGCATTAATCCTGTTTGTAATTTATGCTAAGCTCTTCTGGTAGTCAAGGGTATTTTGCATAATTCATGGGTTATTGTTGTTTTATTTATATACAAAAGTAATGTATATTGGTATCTTCTAAGTTTTGATCAATATACGGTATAAACTTTTTAACGTGCATGTGATAAATCACATGATTAAATCATATGATTAATAAAATTTTTTGATTCAAAATATTGCTATGTGAATTTAGTTGACATATTTCTTATTATATAATTGTTAAGAAAAAACCTGTAAGTAAAAAATTTTAAATTTTTAGTATTCCAAACTTGATTATTAGTGTTATCAAATTTTTTGAATTAAAATTTAAATTTATACTTTTAGGTTTTTTTTTTGGCAATATTAATATTTAATGTTTTTCATCTGTACAAATAAAGATTCTTTTGGCCTATCTCATTATTATAACAAAATCTTAACATATTAAGCATTAGAGTCTTACTCAAAAACAACTTATTTAAGTAAATATTTTTCTACTCAAAAACTTTAACTTTTTGAGGACATTTTTAACTTGTACCAGTGGTTAAAAATAACCAGTACGCTATATCTCGGGGGTCGGGTAGGTTAAGTAAAAATGTTCAGGACCTCTGAAAACCTCACGAGAACTAAGATCGGGACCTGATACCCGATCTATATTATGTTATTTAAAAAAATTATTTTATATAAAAATCTCTATTTATATTAAAGCAACACCCTAACCCTAAGTTTTAATGGAGGTGGTTATTTCTAACCAATGGTACAGAGAATAATAATTCATATTAAATACTAAAAAACTTTATATAAAAATAGTAATCCCCGGGCCAACCCATCTATGTAACTTTTTTTATATACTTATTTCTACTAAACATATATTTTAATTTAATTTAGGTAATTGAATATTATCCTATTTAATTTTAAATGTCAAAAACAATGCGTAAAATAAAAGTTGCGCTCTAAAATAATTACATGAAAGTTACGTTACGTAGATAGCAGAGGATAAATCGGATAAGCGAAATTTTGCAGTAAAGTATAACCGGCCGCTTACGTTGCCGGTTATACTTACTGCAAACTTCCATTTATATAGGATATAACTATTACTACTATACTAAATAAATTTGGTAAAATCAATACACCATGGGGCATATTAATAACTAACCCTTACTAGGATGTATTAATCTCGAATGTTTTGATCAATAAGATGTATCACTAGTAGTGTCGGTATTGGTGAACTTCGAATCTTTATTATTCCTAAATTTTTTAGTTAATCATTTAAAACTTTTAAACAGACTCAATTATTCAAATAAAGATTAAGAGTCGGAAAGCAATTTTTTTCTTGCAAATTTATATACAATATAAAATTCTAGATCCACCAATCATTTGACTATAATCTATCTTGATCGTCTCACTTATTAAAACTTTCTAGGTAAACGGTTAAAAAGATTTTTGTTAGACACAGAGATATTTTATTAATATGATATTTAATCGTTTCAATCACGTTTTTAGAGCACAAACGCAATTCATTGCCTATATAAAGAATTGCGTAACAATGATTGCTTATTGCTTACGTATAATAATTGGCTAGACAATATTTATTAAAATACTACATACTTATAATAAATTTACTGTTTTAGCTTGATTATAATCATATAGATTCTCCAATGTTTTGTATGTCGAGCGTAGCGTATTTACTATATGAATAAATTTCTGAGTTTTTCACAATAATCTGTATAAAGTATGTATATTATATAATTCCATTATTAAAGAAAAGGTATATTGCGAACAGTATATGTGAGAATCAATACCTTGTTCTGCCATTCATACAATTAATTATGCTCCAGATTAACCTATTCAATTTCGGAAATTTTAGCTTCATCCTCTACAATTTCGGAAATCTTTGGTGGTTCTTCTATAATTTCAGAGATTTTTGGTTCATTGGTGGACTCGTTTGCAGCCTTCTTTTTAGCCTTTTCTGTTTCCTCTTTTTCATCAAGTTTTTTCATTCGATCAAACATCCCAGCTAGTTCTCTACGTTGTTTTTGATCTTGCTCCCTATCCTTTTGTTTAAGACGTTGCCATTCACGTTTAACTAATGGGTCTAATTAAGATAATATAGAATAAGTTTATTGATCGTCTAATAAATTAACATGATAATAGATAGCATTACCATCTGGATTTTTTTCCGTCAATTTTTCCAGATCTTGTTTTGCTCTTGTTGTATTGCCATCGGAAATGTACGCTTGTGCACGACGAAACAAAGCTTTTGTATTATCAGGATCATTTTTCAAAGCCTATAGAAAAACCAGGTTTTATAGAAATTCGTATTATTTCTCTTAATCAACACATAGGCAATGACATCAATCATCTATGCACCTTATCTGCGCACTCAATTGCCCTACTCCACTTTTCATTTTTGATCAAACACGCTATTTTAGATCAAATAACGAATTAAGCAGGAATTGAGAATTTTATTGCATTAACAATCAATTATTACAATTATTTAGCAATAATTATTAATATTCACACACCAGACATGTTACTATATATCACGCTTGTAGTTTTCATGATGTCTTCTTGTAAAGGATCAGTTTTGGGCTCCTCTTCTTGTTCTTTGCGAAATATAGCAAAAGATTTGTTATTTTGAAGACCATGTAAGTGTAGCAAAGCCTTGAAATACGGAAGTTTTTTTTCTTTTAGTAAAACACGTTAAGGTGAATACAACCCTGGAATTACAAATACGTGTGATAAAAAGTTTCACCTGATGGTAGTGTCGCAGTGCTAAATAAAAGAGATATGTTATTCAGACATTTTAAGAAATTTCTTCTTTACACATTTCTTAAAGTTGAACAACAAACCTTCTGATATGTTTCCAGCTTTGAAAAATTCATTACCCTTATCCTTTTCGAGTTTGCTGGCCACTAGTTTCTCTTCATTAGCACTAGAATTGGTATTTGTACTGTCCGACATCGTTTTAAGGTTTAGGTAAGAGGAAGGTTAAAGAAAGTATTTGTTATTGAGAGGATATAATTATAACAATAATTCTTTTTTTTTTTTTTTTATAATATCGATATGATAATGATAAAGATATATAGTTGCTAAAATTTCCGGATCAAGAACTTAAATGGTAATTATGGTAATTTGATGATGATTGACGGCTGATTTTTGGTTTATAAATTCATTATTATTAATAATAATATTATTTTTAATCCTCTTCATGACAAGCCAAACTGCTTCGTTAGAATCTCTCAAACTTGATCCAGCCACATATGATCATTTAGAAACCATCCTTACAAATAAAAATGGCCAGACACCATTGCATAAACGCTTTCGTGCTATGTTTACGTTAAAAAACCTTGCGGACAAAAAAAGCATTGATATACTCGCGAAAGGTATATTTAAATGAAGGATAAGCTTAAAGGTATAAGTTAAGATCAAAAATAATTTGCTGAATCTTTTCTTGTCGATTAATAGCATTTGATGATGACTCTATACTATTAAAACATGAACTTGCTTATGTATTGGGCCAAATAAAAAACCCATATGCGAACCCAGTGTTACGTTCTATCTTGGCTGATCGATCTGAAGATCCAATGGTTCGACATGAAGTACGTTCATTTATTTTACTATTCTTTGATCTTAACTTAGTCATCGTTAAGCTTTATGTCGTTTATGATTATCTTATTATAAAGGCTGCTGAAGCTCTTGGAGCAATCGGAGATTTGTCCTCATTAAATATTCTTGAAGAATATCTATACGATGAAAACGTTGTCAGAGAAACTTGTGAGTTAGCTGTCGCTAAAATAAAAAACGGGAAGGAAATTTCTAAAAAGTTGTTGAGTTTACTTCTTGATCACTATTGTTGAAACAATTTTTAACATGTTACATGATTTAGCATATATACATCGGTAGATCCTGCTCCACCAAACGTGGAAGTTCAATCAGTAACAAAATTACGCGATATCCTTCTCGATAAGAAGTTACCTTTATTCGAACGATATCGCGCTATGTTTGCGTTACGTAATATAGGCACCACGGAAGCTGTTTTAGCTCTCGCGCAAGGTCTCGATGACCCATCTGATTTATTTCGCCATGAGATCGCTTATGTGTTTGGACAAATTCAAAGTCCTGATAGCGTACCTGCTTTAATAAAAACATTGGAAAATATGAATGAATTATATATGGTTCGCCATGAAGCTGCCGAAGCGTTAGGATCCATCGCAACCTCAGATTGTTTACCGGTATTAAAAAAGTTTAAAGCTGATCAAGAGAGAGTTGTTAAAGAAAGTTGTGAAGTTGCACTGGATATGTTTGAATATGAGAATTCACAGGAATTTCAATATGCGGATGGGTTGGTTAGGGATGGTGAAGTTAGTTTAGGTTTGTTTAGGTTCTAAAATCTTTGAGTTCCAAATTAAAATTTAAGTTAAACTTGTTCTAGTTTAGAATCAAAATTTAAAATCTGAAGCATTAATAAAAGTAAATTATTTATGTGAAACTTTTAAAATATATACATATTTTTTGATTTTCTGAATGATTTTATTTATTAAATATAATATATGTTAATATTTGATTTATTTAATAAAATTTTAACTTTTATTTATATAAAATAAATACTGTATATCTTTTAATTTATCACGTATTTTATTTTCAAGTAATAAACTTATTTAATGCTAATAAATACAATAATATACATATATAATTATTATTATTTTTATTATTTATATATAAAAAAAAAACTCAAATAAAATATAGAAGAATTTTGTTGTTTTTTTTTCAAATCTTTTCCGTAACCGTTATACCGACTAATTCAACAATATAAAAAAAAAGTTAGTTATTATTACAACAATAAATATATATATAAAGCAAAGTCGAAATAGTAACGAAAGGGGTTAAAGGAACAGTGCGACTTGATTTAGAGATGAGAATTTCGCAAAACTTCTTGGCCGCGTAAGGAAGATAAATAACCCGAACCTTTCGCCCTCAAGTTTTTCCTTACAAGCGGAAGCGACGAAAACCAGAAACATATTTGCTTCGGCAACCGCGTGCGCCTCAGAGACTATTGACAATTGTCCAATGTCGATTTTCATCGCTTGGGCAAAGTCGTCGTTCTCTGCAAGAAGTCCTGGTACCGAAATCGTCATCTCCCTTACACTGACGATTCACGATAACGCTTACTCCTCTCGCTAATACTGCTTCAATACCATATATATATACCTTTAACAGCAGTAATCACTCCGTATTGGTCCGAGAGAAAAACAAAACGCGTCAAGAAATACTCGAAAACGTCAACAACGCAACTAACTCCAACAGCTCTAACAGCAACGACTCCAACGACGAAATCACGCTTGAAAGAAAAGTTAGTAATGAGAAAAAAAACTTAAATCCCAATAACGACGACTCCAACGACGAAATCACATTTGAAAAAAAAAAACGTTAATAAAACAGAAAAAAAAAAAAAAAAGCAACGTAACGCCTCCAACAATAAGCTTACCCGACTTCAACGTTGATTCCAATAACTCCAATAATAACGAGACTCCAATGACGTAAACAGCAGAACCATACCGTAGAATCACAAGAATGCAGTTGAGCCATAAAAACCGCCGTAGAGCCACTATAAAGACCGCCGTAGAGCCACCACAAAGATCGCCGTATATACACCACAAAGAAGGTCGTTAAGCAACTACAAAGAACGCCTAGGAACGTCATTGAACCCGTGTAATTACGGTAACAACGCCACGAAATCACCACAAAGGCACAGGAGACACCGCAGAAACGCCGAAGAAAAATCAAAAAACGCGTTAAAAACACTGCAGAAATACTATAAAAAGGTCTATTAATGTTTTAGTAACTAAAAAAACTAAAAAATGAAATGAGCATGATAAAAATTTGTTTTGATTGGATATTTATTTTATAACAAATATTGTTACACGAGCTTTTTATATTATTTTACAATAGAAAATTTTAAGTTAAAGTAGCTATATCGAAATTTTCCAGGTTTTTTGGACGCTTAACTTCATATAAAAGTTTGGGATCAAGTGTTTCACTAACATTCATTAGAAGCGGTTCTGACATTACAAGTAGGGAATCCTGCTTGTCCAAACTAGGGTTGCATCATTATACTCAGTGTTGGCAATTTTACCGGCCAAACCAAATTTCTTGGCCTTTTCGGCCAAAAAATTGGCCAATTCGGCCAAAAAACATATGAATTTGCCATTTTTGGCCGGTAAAATTGCCAACACTGTTAAATTATACTATACTGTATGATACAACTTGGTATTATACCAGGTATTATACCGGCCCATTGGTCGGGAATAGTATTAGCAATAATTAAAACTGCCAATCAGATTGCAGCAGTATTTATTTAATAAATGGAACACTTTATATCTGACGGGTTGGGGTCAAAATTAGAGATGGGCAAGGTAATAATGTAAGTAATAATTACTTATTTTTTACCCAATATTTACACATACATATTATTACTAATTATTCCTATGATGAATAATTATTGCTTATTACATTTTACGGATATAATCTGGAAAGCAAATTTTAAACTCAATAATTTGCTGATCAAGTTAAGATTTTGCTTATACCACAATTCTTTACTAAACTTGCCCATCTCCTGACAATCAAATCCCAACAGGTCATAATTCTGACCCAGCTTAAATTTATTTGCCAACATTAAATTAATACATTTTCTGAAATGGAACATACAAAACTTTGTTCATCCTGTCGAATTACGAAACCAAATATTGCGTTTCAAATAATAAAAGCAAAAAACGGATGGTTATACCAAAAAATCCCAAAATCTCGACAGGCCATAATACTGGCATCACGCGATGTGACAAATAAAAATTTAACGTCTGCAATAATTGTTAATGTGATTACTAATCATTAAATATTAATCGTCACGTAGGGATTATGGTTTTCGAGATTTTGGATTTTAATCGATATTCACGAGCCAAGAGTTTGAATAAAAATCTTGTCAATCCTCTTGGGTGGATGCATCATTTTCCGGAAAGTTTGTTATCATATTATGGTTTAAAAATTTCTACATATAACATTATATTAATTGAGGTATAATGAAATTCTCAAAATCCTTTATTACAGAAGCTACGCAATATCTTGTCAATCCTCTCGGGAAGATGGATGCATCATTTTCCGGAAGGTTTGTCATCATATTATGATTTATTGGGAAAATATTCGAACGTCGCCTTAATTGATTACACAAGTCAACGATCGATCTGGTAAATTCAGAAAACTAAAGATAATGGATCTGAATCTGAAATTTTAAGAAAGTACAGAAAAGCTCTTCATGAGATATAAAAAAAAATTTTTATAATTATATTTTCGTGTTTAAATAAATATATTAATTTTATGTTTTAGGCATTTGTTTGTCTTGAAAGTCTATTCATATTCCCAAACAAAAAATGGTTTCGAAGTATTGAATCGAACTTTAAATCTATTCATAAAATGGTAGATGACATTAAAGATTTCGAACCTGATATTGGTATTATATGCTGTTCTATACCACATACTGTATATGAATATTAGAATACGTAACTCTGTACTTATACCAATTATACCACCTATACAGTATAATACAAAATTCAATCCCGTTGAACACGTGTTTTATAATCACGTGGTTTCAATTATGCTCATAGTGCTCAAATCGGGTTCGAAATCGATTTCTTAAACAAAATGTTTCATGATAATTTTCTTAAAAGTTAATTTCCATGACGTAAATGATGTAAATGAATTTTTATATTATTGTTTAATTAAAGCTTTTTTTTTTTTTAAAAAAAAAATATGTATCTCCTTGTAGAAACATTTTCAATTGCTATAAATACATAACATTTTTTTTCTTTTATCTTCATATGATGAACGAAGAAAGCACACTCGAACAACCGAATAATATAAATGAACTTAACTCCACATCGATTCCAACATTATCTCAGCATACACAACAAACCGTCCCTCAAAACGATTTAAAACTGATCCCTTCTGGGATGAGCGACGACAAGAAAAATATTGGCGCAAGCCTTTGTTTGAAAACGTGATATGAATCTAGTATGATTGAATGCATGAGGGTCAACAAATAAATAAAAAAAAATAAATCACTGCAATGCATACGTAATATGCAAATATTGATTTTTTTTTTTTTTTGGAGTGAGGCCTGGCCATATCGATATGCAAATATTGATATACCTAGGGTTGTACTGGTCCGGTCCGGTCGGTCCCGGTCCTAATATGACTGATCAATTAGTGATATTTGGTCCGGTTTGGTCTGGTCATTCGGTCTTAAGAACAGTCTTTCAAATGCCGCAGTTATGATGGCTTTCAATTATTTGAATGAATGATGTAATCACAACAGGCTATGAATAATTTTGATCAACTGAGATTTTGATTCGGACCGGTCTTTGCAAGGACCGATCCAACCTATTTGTCATGCTTTCGTCGGTTATTTGAATCATTCTTGTAAAGTTTGCATTTTTTCAGTTCCCGTTATTAATTAATCAGTCCGGACTGAACCGGTCTAAGATCAGGGACTAAAAAACCTCCGGTCCTAGTTCAAAGACCGGCCCGGACCGATCTTTTTCGATCCAACCCTAATTCGGACGTATTTTTGATCGCACGTAACAACTATAATTTTAAAATTATTGCTTTTTTGTTTTTGTTTTTTTTTTCTAGCAGAATATGCAAATATATATATTTATACTTTTGCTAAGCTAATATTCAAAACTTGATTTTTAATGATATATAACAAAGATTGTAGAAATTTATTTATAACTAGACAAAATTGTGTACAAGGTTGGCGACGCAGCTTTTCTGAACTACGAATCAGATTTCAAGATTAGACGTAACGTAACACGATCAGGATCTTCGTCCTGCCAAAATCGCTCATAGCTCAAAAATCAGTATAAGAAACCACCTTTTGTGCTCTAACAAAAAGATTTCGTTGGGCAATTTTACTAATATAAACTATCTCCTAGCCCTCACCACTCCCTCACCCCTGACCCTAACCTAACCTTAACGAATTTTCCTTGTACACATTTTGGTATGCATTTATCCGGCAGCTACTGCGATCGTACCAACAATCATCAAAATATCTCGAGCCATTCTGTAACTACCTGGATAATACCGTTGTTAAATGCTACGCATCCAATACGTATCTTGTTTATCTAGCAGCGAATTTAATATGCCAGAAATGACATTAAATTTCACAGCTGAAATTAGATTGGATATCTTCATGTGATCATATAATTTGATGTGCCATACTAATAAATACATATAGTGTCCGTCTAGCAACAAAAACTCATTTTTTTACGCCTTAAAGTTAATTACTCTGGTTGTTATAGCAATTATTGGTTTTTTTTGTTATAGGCCGAGGTGGCATGACAGAATTTTGATGGTGATTTATTTGCTGAGAGTTCTACTCGGGCGAGTGATTATGCCTTAGCATTTTATTCAGGTTTGCTTACATGTTTCATAATTCATTTTTTAACTTCAATATATGCTTATTCTATTAATTTATTTATTGATTATTATTTAAAAAAAAAAACATTAACTTTAGGATTGTGGGCATTTGATGGATGGTAAGAATCTGAAATCTGTTTTGAAGAAGCAATTATAATCCAAAGTTTGATTAATTTTGATTATGAAATTAGTCAAATCGGTCCTTTATTCCGTTTCGAAGGACTTTCTATTTTGAATCACTAGAAAAAAAAAAATATATCTATCTATCTAAAATTTGTTTATCTGCGTGTTAACGTGAAATGTTCAATGGGTTTAATCGTTCAGGAATTCTGTGAACGTTATCGCTGGTGAAATGAAAAATCCTTCACGAGATCTTCCGCATAATCATGATCGGTTTACCAATTGTAATAGTTTTTTATTTATTGGCGAATGTTGCTTATTATGCTGTTTTACC